ACAAAAAATGAGAGAAAAAAAAGAGAGACAAAAAAAGAGAGACAAAGAAAGAGAGACAAAGAAAGAAAGAGAGAAAAAGAAAAAAAAAAGAAAGAAAGACAAAGATAGGGAGACAAAGAAAGAAAGAAAAAAAAGAAAGAAAAAAAAAAAAAAGAAAGAGAGAAAAAGAAACAGAGACACAGAAAGAAAGAAAAAGAAAGAAAAGAAAGAAAAAAAAAGAAAGAAAAAAAAAGAGAGACAAAGAAAAAAAAAAAAGAAAGAAAAGGAGACAGCAGCTCACCAGGGTGGGGGAGGAGACAGGGTGTTAGTGTGTAGCCGCAGCAGAAAGAAAGAGGAGACAGAAGAAAGGAGACAGGGGAGCCGAGAAGAGAGACAGCTCAGTATACTCATATACAGACAAACCCCACACAAACGCACACCAAATATACTGCTGCTGCTGCTGCTGCTGCTGCTGCTGCTGCTGCTGCTGGTGCTGGTGCTGGTTGGGGGGGAGGGGGCGGCCGGGCGAGAGAGGGAGACGGCGGGGACGTCCTGCTGCTCTCCTGCTGCTGCTGCTGCTGCTGCTGCTGCAAGAGGAAGCAAACCATCCAGCTGCTGCAGCAAATGTAAACCCAACTGCAGCAGCTCATCATCAGCAGCAGCAGCAGCAGGCAGCAGAGAGACAAACCTAAAACACACAGCAATATATATATATATATATATATATATATATATATATATGAATATAAATTTATATATAAATATATTTATATATAATATATAAAGAGGAAACAGCAGAAGAGATATTCTAATGGATACACAAGGAGACAGAAGAGGAGACAGACAAAGAGACAGAAAAGGAGACATAAAAGGAGACAGAAAAGGAGACAGGAGACAGCTGAGGAGACAGCTGAGGAGACAGCAGAGGAGACAGCAGAGGAGACAGGAGACAGCGGAGGAGACAGGAGACAGCAGAGGAGACAGGACACAGCAGAGGAGACAGGTGAGGAGACAGCTGAAGAGACAGCTGAGGAGACAGGAGACAGCTGAGGAGACAGGAGACAGCTGAGGATACAGCTGAGGAGACAGCAGAGGAGACAGGAGACAGGAGACAGCAGAGGAGACAGCTGAGGAGACAGCTGAGGAGACAGGAGACAGGAGACAGCT